GACTGGCGGCCATTTTGTTTTAAAGAATTCAGTTCTGGATCCGTATCCAAGACATGTCTGGATTGATCAAGTTCAAACTTCACACACACATGGTACATCATGTCACAAATAGATATGTGCATTTGTTTCATGATCCGCTTAACAATAGCTGAATGATGGCCATTTTAAGGCCGAAAATGCATCAAAATCACGTATTTTCACCATTCCGAACCCGGATCTCAGTTATGCATGGATGGATTTTGTTCAGATTTAGTACAATGTGTTGTACATATGCAGGTGCATTTCGGTCACGATCTGCTTTGAATGTATATGTCACTCAAATATGAATGGAACGGGGACGTGCCATTGACAATGACTTGTTCATATTAATTCTCTAATTAGCATAATAATTCAAAATTTGTTTGTTCTGTTCTGTTCATATTAGTTACCTGATTTACATAATTAGTTTTCAGCTTTTCCATCGTGTACAAGTAATTTTGAATTAATTTTTAATGTGTCTTCAATACTCTCAGCACACGGGAGTTCTTTCTAAGCTTTCTTTGATTTCAAGTATGTGACTAGAATACAAAGTGTTGTTATAATATTTTTGTGTTTCATCACCAGGTTGGGACATCGAGAAAGGAAACCCGGATGGTGTCAATCCAGATTTCCTCATTTCACTTACCGCACCCAAGAAATGTGCACAACACTTCAAAGGAAAGCATCACTATCTTGGTGGAAGATTTGTACCTCCAGACCTCGCTAAGAAGTATGAACTCAACCTGCCAGACTACCCGGGTACAGAATGCTGCTTAGAATTGAAGTGACTAGCAACGACCTCAAAGATTTAGTACAAACACAGATTTGATGCTGATAATTACTATTACAGATTCTTATAGAGAGGCTGTTGAAATAGCCAGGTTTGTTTCAGATAGTTTCAAGCTATACGATAAACGCTGTAAAGTGTAAATCTTTTTAATTTTGCAAAGATAAGTTTTCACAAATTTCTCAAGTAGGAAAAATTGCAAAGTTTCATAATTTGCTGTTGATCCCTTAGGGCAGGTTGTCTGACTTGACTTTGCCAACAACCACAAATCATCAAACTAGGGAAATTTTGTTTATATTCTAGTCTTTGAACATTCTGCAAATAATTTTATGGATGAGTAGGATTGTATTCCATAATAAATTGTGTGAGTTTGATATGCTTTTTTCAGATATTGTCTTTATCAGCTTTACAGTGCCTGGCATCTCTGCCATATCATGTAGGTTATCCCGTTCAAGACACTCATGCACCACCAAAGTACAAAAATAGTTTTTTTCATTTCCACTTAATAATATAGGTTATATTTAGGTTTTCTCAAACCATTTCTGCTAAAGAGTCGTCTGGCCGAATCAATCCACAAATCAGCATTTAAAAACAAGGATTTTTTTGTATTCTGTTAAAATTCTGGGAATAGTGATCGTTCCTTACCATACAAAAACCCTCTGAAGGTTTTTAGTAGTGTAATAAAGTTATTATTATTATTATTATATCATTTATATTTGTATGCCAGGGAACATGTATATTTAGCGCTTTTTACCTTGAATGCCTGTCTGTGAATTGTCCAAGTTACAGCTTCTCCCTAAATATGTTTAGTCACAAGCTATGTGGGTTTTTTTTTTGGGGGGGTGACTTATTTATGCAGTCTGTAAAATATGATATTCAAACAAGAACTTCTCTTAATGAGATTCAAATTTGGTGCAAGCCTCAACATTCCAAATAATAATACTGTTTTTGTGTAACCTAGATATTCATGTCATGCATCTTGTATGGTTAAATGGCAGAAAAACAGTTTTAGTTTATTAAGAAGCTGAAAATATGCTAATGTATTTGCTCTATTAGGTAGTATAGCATGCACTTACGTGAGTAACTGAGGTGTATCTAATATACTGAGGTATATATCTAAGTGACTAAGGAGTATATATGTGACTAAGGTGTATCTGAGTAACTGTGGTGTATTTAAGTGACTGAGGTGTATTTAAGTGACTGAGGTGTATCTGAGTAATTGTGGTGTATTCAAGTGACTGAGGTGTATCTATGTGACTGAGGTGTATCTGAGTAACTGAGATGTATCTATGTAACTGAGGTGTATCTATATGTTCTTAATAGAGCAAATATCGTAGCGCCAATAATAACTACCTGTCCATGTACAGTAAATTCGTGGCATCAAGGCTCATTGATTTACATGGTTGTCCTGGCTTGTCTGTGTCAATTTTCAAGTTAATAGAAATTGTGTAAATGTTATCAAAAATCAACTGCTTTCAAGTAAGTTTCCATCGCTGCTGTACATAATCAGTTCAATACCTGATCTTTTTCAACCGGCACACTGTAAATCATTTTAACACATAGGTGATGTATGTATGTGTGAGTATGACCTAGAGAAAACCCTAACCCTAACTGACCTATGAAAGCTTTGGATTATGTACAGTACATGAGAAATCATATCCAACAGAATCCTGAAATCAAATTTAGAAGTATCTCGTAAATGAAGAACAGTATAGACTTGAGTGATAACAATGAAGATTTTGTTTGATTTGGTGATTAAACATCACAACCTTCAGAGCAGGTTAGCTACAGTACTCCAATATTTCAGGATTTGTTGGAAAATTAACTAATTTTATAATTTTTCATAGAAATGCACAAATCTTTTTCATATACATGTATTCTAATTATAATGATTGTTTTACATCATACAATATTCTGCAAAGAATGTTAACCCTTTGACACCAAAGTCAACGTTTGTCACTTCTCAAAAAATTAAACTCAAATATTTTGTTCCCAGATTTTGTAAAATATTTCGATTTGCTGCCAGTGGGAAATTAAATCCATTTCATCAAAAATAATGATGAAAATATAGAAAAATAGTGACTATTAAAAGGAAAACTTTTGGTGAAGAATTCATAAACGCAGGCATTTAGTAATGTTCTCATCATTGCTTTGGTGCTATTCTGTCCCCACGTCCCTATAATAGTATGTAACCAAGGTAAAAATTTGTTACGGATTGGTCAAATGTTAGCATTGAACTTGTATTCCCGTGAAAATCAGTGTGCATTGATGTAAAACAAATACGTTGTTCTACAGATTGTCTTTGAGGTACTAGTAATTAAGTGTGTTTATTTTGATTGTTTACAGTCACATGACTTCAGTATTGGACCCCTCATCTTGATGTAAATTCTCAATACCACACATACCTCCTAGCTTATTTGAAATATGTGCCTCTATATTTAGTATTGGTAAATAAATGATAGAAACTTCTAACAGTTACTATATTCAGCTTCTTCCACAATTGACTGTCATTAATTTAACAATTCATTTCTACAAATCATATCTGATTAAAAACAGTATCACAGTAGTATTAAATCTTTTTTTTTTTTTTTTATTAGATGAAATATACAAGATCAATTGCAAGATTTAGGTTTCATATTATCTCATATTTTGGTAGTGTTCTTCATTTGTTCATATAACTTAGATGGACAGAAAAACAAAATATTTTCAATGTACAGAAGACATTTTCTTGTGATTAATCAGTATTTACAGTTTTTAACTAGACAATTAGATCACAATTTTAAAGAAGAAAAAAACTATTTCTGATCAATTATCATATTTCCTCAATTAGAAGCGTATGCACTTGTTGTTGACCTAAACATGGTTTTCTGATTATACCTGTGTTTCTATTAGGTACTCCGTTCTAACTGAGCAAATACAGAGTAACTCAGTTTCTGAGAGGCCTTTTTCTGTTTCAACTGGTAAAGAAAGCTGAATGGGTCCCAGGGCTGGAACATAGCACCCTCTATAGTTGAAATCAAGAAAATGCCAAGTATCAGTATGTGTGTAGTGTTTGTTTGTTTGTTTGTTATCTAATGAGCGAACATAAATTGTTCATTTTTTATTTAATTGTATATCTGCAAACTAGAAAGTCAAAGTTCAACTTCAGAAAATGTTTTCAATGAAGTATTCAATTTGAATAAACCTTGTATGAGCCTCAGCATGAGTACTCAATGGCTAGAAATTTGTTTGGACCGAAACAAGATTCTCAAGTTCCATTGGACGATTCTTATGTGAGATATCAGCTAAACAAAACACCATGTATAGGTTCTATCTGATCATGTGATTTTCTTGTGAAGGGGTTGATCATTTGAAATTATGGGGGTGGTGTTAAAAATAATTATAAGCTTGACACTTAGAGAGAGAAAAACTTGCATGGGATGGCACATGTTCAGATAAACCACCATAAAAATAAATTTGCACTGGTCACATTCTCCGAGCCACCACCCTGATTTCATATGGTTGAGCCCTAAAATGAGAACTGTATCTGTGGGTGACTGGTTCACAGCCACAAAGAAAAAATACTCTCTGTATAAAAGTAAGTACAACAGCCAAGGTGTTTGTGTGGGGTGGGGACTCACCTGTAAAATGTGTATGGGTAAGCCACACTTAACGTAAATCACTTCTAAGATGAAAGTTGTTGGTTTTTAGATGCCCACTTTAATGAACAAATACCTTGGGTTGTGTATTTCACTCACCACCGACCTGGATGCGATAAATGCGAGAATGTGTGCCTCAGGTTGGGCAACAGCTGTATTGTATTACACATGTCTGTCGTCCAAACTTTCATATCTGGTACATGTTTTACTGATTCCTACAAACCATGGTGAATTATCACACTTATCATCATTGTATCAACATTCCATATGTACATTTCACAGATAATTCATATTAATTATTCCATGTAACTTGACCTTTGGATCAATCTGATGATGCATTCTGGGATATGCTACTTTACATCATGTATACTTCTCCATTATTTGGTAACGAGTACATTGGCTTAATTTATACAGCGATATTACAAAGATTATGGTTAATTAAAAATAGTATTTTCATCAATATTCAACTATGTTCTTTAAACACTAAAAACAAACAATATTTTGTTTATTCCATCTGTATTACTATACTTGGTAAATATGAAAACAATCTGACAGGTGGTTTCAGAAATTAAAAATGTGCCAAAACAGGTGAAACTCAATTAATATTGTAAATATAACACCAAATTTGGCAAATTAACCAATCATATCTGTTCAAACCAATATCTAAACCAATTATAGCTGTTCTAACATATAGGTCAACCAATCAGACATACAATATATTTCTATTTCTATGCGCACACAAATCCAGAAAATTATTCTATATGGATGAAGCTTTCTATACTGCTTATTTGCAGTGCCTTCTTTAAGCCAGAGGTCAAACCAATTTTTGATTTTGAATGATTCTTGTATCAGAAAGTTAAATTCATTATTCCACCCAGTGAACTCTTCGATTGGTGTAAATAAACTAACAGGAAATTTTCCTTTGTTTGTTTGTATTGTGTCTTTTATTCATTTAATAATACTTTTTTTCCACTTTCTGGACATCTTGCTTTGACAATCTTCATTAACGTAAAGTAATGGCTTGGTGGTTGCATTGAAATATAGTGACCATTAGGTGTTATACTGTAAAAGGGTTAATTATTCACTGGGTTTTAATTTTGCTTATTTCACTGACTGGACAATGCGCTAAATTAAAACCCAGTGAATATGTCAAATTTAGCAAAGAACACATTATTTAAATGATAAAACAGTGAATTTGAAACCCACTGATTATGCCTGAAATGGTATATCAGCGAAAATTTTACAGTATTTTGTGCTAGCTGTTCCTGTAATGCTGGTTTCATTTGATCTTTCATTTATACATACATTCAAATTCCACCACGAGAGGCACAAATCCCACCACGAGACTGCATATTTGCAAAAACCCACCACTAGATGGCTTTTCCACCTAGATATCACCACCAAAAGACAAATCCCACCACTACAAATTATATCTGGCCTCTATTGGGCTTATCTACACAAATCTCACTACTAGATGCATATTTCCACAAATCTTACCACAAGAGGGCATATATTCCCACCCAGATCTCATATTCAGAAGACATCTGAACTAAACCCATCACTAATGAGTATATCTAGCCTATATTGGGCTTATCCTCTCAAATCCCACTACTACAGATCATATTTAGCCTCTATTGGGCTTATCTTCTCAAATCCCACCACTACAGATCATATCTAGCTTGGTTACTTCATTAATAATTCACTAGCAATAACACCTTAATTGCGTAATCAACTATTATCCGAACATGCCTAAATGTGTTGACTGCGGTAAATTAAAGAATGAAACACTCACGGATGATGATATACCATGGTGTAAAAAAATGT